CCTCTGGTCACCAGAGTGGAAATGAGTAGGAAAAGCTAAAGAAAAGAAGGAAAAAAGAAAAAAAAAATACTTGCACCTTTGTCTCTGCAAATCGCTGGCAGGTTTCTGCAATGGAAGTGTTCTCTTGTCCCTCTATCTGCTCACTTCCCATTCCAAATGGTTATGGTGGGACACATTGGCCACCCCAAATCAGAAGTCACCTCCTTTCTTGCTTCTGTTCCAAATCTTGATCCACTTTATCTCTTGATCTGAAGTTCAGAGTTCCAGGACTGCCCGCAGAAGTGGTTTCATCCGGTTTTCCGTGTTTTCTCTAAGGAGGGTCTGCACAGTCTTTCTGTCTAGTATGCCGTCAAGCACCACCTCCCTGAGTACATTTTTTGTTTCGTTTTTTATTCCCATTTAAGTCTCAGGTCCTGTTGGCATTCATTTTGATTTAAAAAGTGCCAAGGATGTGTCTTTGTATTTTTTATGTTTTTGTAATTTAATAGCCCTCTGATAGAGAAAACCACCTGAAACATGGATTGGATTTCCAATGCAGTTGGGCCTATTTCTGGACTCTTATTTTACTGAACTCTGTGTATTCATGAACGAGTACTACAAGCTTAAATTATTATATTTTGTAGTATGTTTTATTTTTTGGTAGGCTGTGTCCTGCTTGCTAAGTATTGTGAATTTTTCAGAGAGCTATTGTACAAATACTTTTCCATAGAATCAGCTTATCTGTTTTTAAACCTAAATTCATTTACAAACTAATTTAAGGAGAGCCGGTGGTTCAAGCTCACCAGGTGCTCCTCGGAAACCCTGTATAGGGTCGCTATGGGTTGGAACCGACTCAACGACACTTTACAACAACAACAAACTGTAAAAATTAAGTCTTCCTTATCTAAAGGAGGGTGTGCTTTCTCATTTGTTCATCCTTTACATTTTTCAGAATTTTTATATAGACACTATACATTTATTATATGCATTCCTACATATTTTTGTGATTGTCATAAATGAGAGTTTTTCTTTCACATTTTAACATGTTATTTCTATACAGGGAAGCAGTTGGTTTTATATTTTAATTTTGTATGTTCTCAGCTTACTGAATTTTCTCACAGTTTTCAGTAGTTTCCTGGTTGAATTTTCCAGATACATCTGCATGACAATCTCTTTCTGTTTTCTTGGATAATCAGTTGATTTAGCCTTTGTATCAGGTGGAAATTGTAAACTGTGTCTTTTTTTTTTTTTCTTCAATTATTTTAACTTTTTATTGTGAATTGAATGAAGGTTTACAGACAAGCTCATCGGCTTTACAGTCAACAAATTATATGCACTTTGTTTCATCTCAGTGATTACAATCCCTGCTCTGCAACAACAGTTAGTTATCCAAGTTCCTCCCTGTGACTTCCTTTTTACGTCTTATATTTCACAAATCAACAAAGCAAAAATATTTGATGTACATAATATAAAACAAAAAGTGTATACTCATTTAAATATCCAGCCTTCTGCCTACAGACACACATCCATAGTCAGTCCATGGCCTGGAGCCCACAGCTGCTCTGTGGCTCCATGCCACTGCCTCTGCCTCCGTCTCTGTCATCGCCCACCACTTTTCTAGGTGAGATCTATCCTTCCACTCTGGGGGAGTCTTTATGGAAAGAGTGAGTCTTTGGTTTAGTGGTGCTGCATGCACATTTGGCCTTTGGAGGTCCCCAGTGCCCCGAGGCTGAGTGCCAGCCTGACCTCTCCACGCCACATCCAGGAGACACTGTGGGGTCCTTGTGTTGCCCCAGCCTGGCTGAGGGTTCTATCAAGCCCTGCTTTACTCACAGCTATAGCCCCAAACTTGGGAGTTATCTGTGACTCCTTCTTGTGCACTCTGTGTCCAATCTGTTGACATCCTTCAAAAATATATTCTGATTCCAACAATGTGCACCTCTGATGCCGCCTCCCATGTCTGTGACTTCATCATCTTTCCTCTGTTCTCAACCCAGTGACAGAAGACACAGCCTCTTCTTGTCAGCGAAAGTCAGAATTTGTCAGTGGCCTGTTAGACTCTATCTTCCCTGATTATCCTGTGGCCTTTTTCCTGCTCATCACTCACTACCACACACCTGCCACATGGGTCTTGACGTCCAGCGTGGCCCACTTTGGGTCTGGGCTGCAGACGTGCATGATCTGTAAGAACTCGCTCCCCCAGAGATCCTTGTGGCTTCCACCCTCACGCCTGCCAAGGTTTTGCTCACACGCCACCCAATTGAGGAGCCCCAGTCTGTCCTGATTCCCCTTACACGATCTGCTTTCTTGCTTCATAGCACTTACCATCTTCAAACATACACTGTATTTGGAAAAAAAAAAATTTCATTGTTTATTTTCAATTTCCCTCAGCCGTCCCTACTTTGTAAGCTTCACAAGAGTAAGGTTATTTGTTTTGTTTGCTTATATATCCCAAACTCCTAGAAAAGTTGTTGTTGTGTGCTGCCAAGTCGGTTCTGACTCATAAAGACCCTAAAAGAGTGTCCCCTAGGGTTTCCTGGGCTTTGAGAGCATTATGGGCTCAGATTAAACAGTTATTTTCTTTTGCAGCTGGAGGGTTTGAACTCATCTTTCAGTTAGTAGTTGAACACTTAATGGCCTACCGGTTCTTCTTAGAAAAGTCTTGTTGTTGTTGTTGAAGTGCCATCGAGTTGGTTCTGACTCATAGCAACTCTTTCCAAGGAGCAACTGGTGGGCTTGAACTGCTGACCTTGTGGTTAGCAGTCCAGTGCTTATCCTGCAGCACTGCACCAGGACGCTAGGAAACATCTTAGTGGTAAAGAAATACGTGAATAAATCTAAGAGAACACTGACTTCCGTATGGAAATTTGCTTCGGGTGTGTAGACGGATGTCTCTGGGTCTTCATAGCAATCTTAAGAAGAGTGATTTTATGGATTAGCGAGTGTAAGCTTTCGGAGGATTTGTTGTTGTTAAGTGCTGTTGAGTCACTTCCTGTACAGGGTTTTCCAGGAGCAGTTGGTGGATTTGAACTGCCAACCTTGTGGTTCACATTTAGGATTGTGTTGTAGAATGCCGTTTCCCAATCTATGGTGTAGCTCATGTGTTATTGAACCCTTGACAAGAACTGGTTGCTGGTTAAAACAGTTCTTCACCTGCTTTGGACACTGTTAGGCTGGAGGTGTTGTAATGTATAGCATCTCATGGTCCAGCTGGCCTCCCACTTCCCACTGAAGGGAAATGCCACCGGCATCTGAGACATTTTGCAGAGTTGTCTGTGCTGCCTACCACATTTTCTCAGTGTGACCCTCTCTGGTCCCCTCAGGGAGAACAGCAATGGTGCCTTTGGGTGGGGTTACTCTGTCAGCCTCTCTTGAGTACACCAACGTGGTTTTATGGCTCGGCTGTACAGAGTTTATACATTAGCCATGGTATCATATTGTCCTCATGTTTGTTGTAGTCCTTTGACATGCGTCATCTCAGGTAGTCCTCACTGCTACACAATTAGTTTAGAACATTTCAGAGTGTGTTTAAAGTACATAATTACTCCTGCAGGAGTGGGATGGACTTTCACCCTAAATTTGTTTGGGATGTTAACACTGTTGGCCTCGTATACACCAAGAGGGTTTGAAAAGATTTATTAGTTGCATGATGGGCAGACCAGGGAGAGGTAACTGACTGAGGGTTCTAGGGCAGCTAAAAGGTAGTCTTGGGGTGAGAGTTTTCTCAAATGGGTAGGGACTTGCACAGTTTAAACCAATTACTGGCACCAGAGAGGGAGTCCCTGGCTTCTTTTTAGCAGTTTGTCCAGCTATAGGGCAGAAGGGAAAGGGACGGGCTTGAAAACCACCAGCTACCAGACATCCAAGTGAGAATACTACACTGAAGCCTACCACTGCTCCTACCGACTTCACAGGTTGCTGTGATGTTGCGGGATAAGGCGTTGAATCGCAAGGTCTGTGGTTCAAGCTCACCTGCCGCTCCTCAGAAACCCTATGCAGCATCATGGCTCGCTATGAGTTCGGAACCGACTCGATGGCACTTAACAACAAACTGTTCTATGACCGGACTTTTCCCGAGCTAATTATCATGTTCTTAGCATATTTTCATGTCTGAAAAAAGATACAAAAAATATTTTGTAATGGTTGAATTATAACCCTGCTGTGACACTATAGAGTAAGCACTGGACTGATAACCACAGGTTGGAGGTTCAAACTGACCAGCCACTCCTTGGAGACCCTTTACAGAAGGGGTAGGGATTGTCCATAAAAGGTCCACGAATTTGGTCTGGCCCAGAGAAGGCAACCACGGTTCCAGCCATCACATCGCTGTTGTTATTAAGTGCCGTTGAGTCTGTTCTGACTCATATCGACTGACCCTGTTAGGGGTGAGTTAATTAAATGTTTGACTGAATATAGCAGGTTAGTTTTTAAGTTGATAATATTGTATGGTCAGTGAATGATGTTATAAATATCCAAACGGCCCTTGGCAGAAAGCAGGTCCCTGCTCTACAGGGTCGTTATAAATCAGAACCTACTCTACAGCACTTAACAACAGCAAGATTATGACTACATCATAATTCCATATGATGTAATTTTTATTTTAAAAGGCATCCAATTTTTCAGTATTATATATAAAGCCCACATCAACATCTTTGTAACTAAACCTTAAATCTTAATTGTCTCCTTAAGATAGGAGTAAAATTGCTGGTCAGAGGGTCTGTACATTTTTTTCGTCTTTCTGAATGCCTGTATTTACCCTCTGGCCAGCTGACAAGAGCATTGGTTTTTCTATATCAGTGTTTCTCAATGGTGGCTGTCCAGCAGAATCATTCGGGACTCTTTTAAATAGTTTTCAGGCCTGGCTCCCTGTGACTCGGATTTAGCAGATCTTGGATGGGTCTCAGAGAGTCTGTGAGTTTTAAAAGCTTCCCAAATGCTGTTTGTATGTAGTTGTTTTGACTGGTCAAGTGAAATTTCATTACTTTAATTTTATTTTCTTCTAAAATTGTTTCAGACATTCAGACTTGGGAGAAGTGGCCCCGGAAATAAAACCATCAGAAAGAGGAACAGCTTTGGCCATTGCAGGTAAAGAACACAGGCTTGGTGTGAAGCAGAGTCTTCTGTCCCTTTGAGATTCCGAGTTCGAGCCCTGTCCTGGGCTAGGGATCATAGATGTAAAAGTAAATAAGCTTACATTTATGGTTTTGTTTGTCCTTTTGCAAGAAGATGCAATCGAAGTGTCTTTTGTAGTGCTGTGGATTAATGCAGCAGACTGCAAAACCATTTGAACTACAAGGTTGGTGGTTCAAGCTCACCAATTGCTCCTTGGAAACCCTATACAGGGTCGCCATGGGTTGGAACCGACTCAACGGCACTTCACAACAACAACAACATACATTCAAACTAGGATTCTGTTTCCAGCAGATTATCAGGAACATATTTGGTAAAGTTTGAGCATTTGGTAGCTGCCACCCTGGGTCAGTCTTAAGGTGATTGTATCGCTTATCTTCTACATGAGGGCACTTTTGAGGTGAAAGAGGTTTATCTTTGGAATTGAGTCAAATCTACTCCCAGAGTAGCTCTGCCCCAAAGGGTTCATAAGGCTGCCACATTTTTCTCCCTTGAAGTGGCTATGGTGTTTGAACTGCCGACCTCTTGGTCAGCAGCCCAACATTTAACCCACTGTGCCACCAAGGCTTCTTTTATGCTGGAATAAAATGTATAAATTGAAATTGTCCTAGGGGCAGTCTTTCTGTTCATGGGTCTTGCTGGTTGGTTTTCCTTTCTCGGAGGATTTGGGAGTCTCAATTTGAGACTTCAACTTTAAGGTGTGGGGTCAACAATCCAGACATCATAATTTCTCTTAGTAAGTCATTTTGGAGTTACCTTTCATTAATTCAGTTCTTCTCAAAATGCTTGTGTTCTATTAGGTATTAATTGTGTTGAGAGGAGGGCACCAAAAATGTACAGATAAATTTGGGTTGATCAAATTTTGCTTTATTATTATATTTAAGCAGGTGTTTCTTAACCACTTGCCATGTGTTGTCATTGTTACTGGTATTGTTATTAAGTGCCATCAAGTCTATTCTGACTTATAGTGACTTGGTATAGGGTTTCCGAGGAGCACTTAGTGGGTTTGAACCGCCAACTTTGTGGTTCACGGTCCAGTGCTGATCCCACAGCGCCACACCAGGAGTCTGTTATGGGCATTCAGAATGTAGTGAACAGTAGTGAACAAAACAGCCCAAATGTCTTGCCTTTGTGGAATTTACATTTACATTCTCGAAGGCAAGTACTGTGGGGCTTGGCTAGTTGATCAGACAGACAGCCATGATGCAGTTAAGCACTCATTGCTCAAAGCCCTTTAGTCTCAAGACCTAGAATTTTGCTGCCTGATATGATAGCCACTGTCGTCGTTAGTGCCATCAAGTCGATTCTGACTTATAGCAACCCTGTATAGGGTTTCCAAGGAGCAGCTGGTGGGTTTGAACTGCCAATCTCATGGTTAGCAGTCAAAGTTAGCAGCACACAATTTCAGTTTAAAACTAAATACAATGAATAAGTACAATTAAATACAAATTAAAAATGGATTCCTGTGTCATACTAGTCATATGCCAAGTGCTCATACTACATCTGGCTAGTGACTGCAGGACGTTATTTTGGATAGTGTTCTAGGAATATAGATAGGAAAGACAAAATGAGATGAGAGACGGAAAGGAGTGATGGATTGGTCGTTGTGTATAATTTTAGCCACAACCTTGTAAGGTAGTTAACCTCTGCCCTTTGTTTCATGGAGGAGTCCTGGCATGGCGCTGTGGGAAACTGAGGTTCAGAGTCATACTGGTCCATTTCCAAGTCTTTCCAGTGAATGTTGTTGCTGTTGTTAAGTGCCTATCGAATCTGTTCCGACTCATAGCAACTTTGTGTAGGGTTTTCAGTGAGCAGCTAGTGGGTTTGAACCACCAACCTTATAGTTAGCAGTCATGTGCTTATCTTGCAGGGGCACACTAGGACCCCTTTGAGTGAACAGTTGTCTCCAGTTATGATTATTATTTTAAATTTTGAGCCGTTTATTACTTGGATGGGTAGCCCTTCAAGTATTATGAAAAACTTGATCATTTTCAATGTCATTCCTTGAGAGTTCAAGAAAGCAGGAATTGTACGGCATCTTAACTACAGAATGATGTTGAAACCTGCACTGATTTAGACACTATATTGGTTTTTGTTTTTTTTTTATCATTGATTTTACTTTTGTTGCTGTTGTTGAGAATATACACAGCACAGCGGAGACCTTGTTGCTGCCAGCCGAGTCTGACGCAGGGCGATGCTGTGTGACAGACTAGAATGCTCCCTGTGATGTCGTAGGCTATATAGTCTTTACAGAACAGACAGCATTGCAACAACTTCTCCATGGACAATTCAGTAGCATTAAGTACATTCTCCGGTGGTGACCCATTCTCACCATCCTTTTCCAAGTTGCTTCTCCTCATTGACCCCTCCATCGCCCCCAGACATGCCTATCTAATCTTTTAAATTACTGTTGTCAGTTTGATCCAATATAGACAGATCTTAAAAAGAGCATAGTGCTCAAGGCAGACTTCTGAGGTGATGTTTCCATCTCTCTAACACTTCCTCAAAGAATTCTGCTCTCTTTGATGTACACACCAAATCAAAATAGCAGTTTGGGCATCCTTAATCCTTTTTCACAATCAGTAACTTGTCTTTTAACTTTTTAAATTGTGGTAAATAGATATGTAACAAAACATTGGCCATGTCATCATTGCTTACGTGTGCAATCAGCAGCATTAATCATGTTCATCTTGTTCAGCCATTATCTATTTCAAAAAGTTTTCACTACCCTAAACAGCAGCAATCTGCCCTCAAAGCAGTGAGTCATTCTTTCCCCGTCGCTCCACCTGTCCAAATAACCACCAATAAACATAGTCAGGATGCACTGGCCTAGTCTAGACATTTTATATCAATCGAATCATTCCGTATCCTTTTGTGACTGACTTATTACTTAGCATAATGTTTTCAAGGTTTTCCCATATTGTAGCATGGATTAGAACTTAATTTTTTATTTTATTTAGCCATTCATCTGTTGATGGACATTTTGACAGTTTCACATTTTTAGCTATCATGAATCATGCTGCCATAAGTGTTATACAAATATCTGTTTGCATGATTGCTTTTTATTGTTTTGGAATTGCTATTTGTTGTTGTTAAGTACCATTGAGTTGGTTCTGACTCGTAGTGATCTGGAACCCCAGTGTGGTGCTGCAGGATATGCACTGGACAAGGCCAGTTTTAACTGCAAGGTCAGAGGTTCAAACCCACCAACTGCTTCTTGGAAACCAGCCTGGTTGTCCTGCAGCGCTACGCTGGACTCCAATATCATTTGGTACTTCTGTGTTTAACTCTTTGAAGAACCATCAGAATGTGACATTGAGCATCTTTGCATGTATTTTTTGGTCATTTGTATGTTTTCTTTGGTGATATATCTGTTCAAGTCCTTTGCCCATGTTCTTGTTGTTAAGTCGTAGAAGCTCCTTCTATACTCTAGTCATTGAGTCATTTCCACGTAAATGGTCTCAAAATTTTTTCTTCCACCTTGTAGGTTGACTTTTCACTTTGTCTTTCATGACCGTAAATTTTTGATTTTCACGAGATCCCATTTATTTATTTTGTCTTTCCTTGCTTTGACTTTTAGTGTCCTATCTAAGAATCCATTGTAAAAAAAAAAAACAAAAACAAAAAACTAGGTCCTGAAACATTACCCCAATGTTTTGTTCTAAGAATTTCATGATTTAAGCCTTACATTTAGGTCTTTGATTTTATATGTGGTATGAGGGATGGAGGGAGTACAAAGGCTCTGTAGCATAAGCACTGGACTGCAGGCCACGAGGTTAGCACTTTGAGGTTACCAGCCATTCCATGGGAGAAAGACGGGGCTTTCTCATCCTGCAAAGACTTACAGCCTCAGACAACCTCCACAGAATTGCCGTGCGTCAGAACCGACTCAACAGCCCTTCACAACAGTCATGAGGTATGGGCTGAATTACATTCTTTTACTTTTGGAAACCTAGTCATCCCGGCATCACTTAGTAAAGAGACTTATCTTTCCCTGTTGGATGCATGTGGTACCCTTGTCAAAATGAAATGACCATGGATGTATGGGTCTATTTTTGGACTCTCAGTTCTATTCTATCCGTCTATATATCTGTGATGCTATGAATTAAACTCTCCCCAAACATCATTTTTGCCCTAAGAGGTCTGGGTCAGAGAAGGTGGGAGAAGATGCTGACAAGATTCTATGATACAGTTATGAGTGGTTAACTGTGATTACAAAAACTTGGAACTCTAAAGGTATAAAATGAGCCATCTCAGAAGCCAGAATGGGGCGGGGGCAGTCTCACTACCATCAAAGAAGAGTCAGGAGTGGAGCTCGCCCTTTGGAACCAGAGGTCCCTTTGCATAGAACCCCCTTGACCCAGGAATAGAAAGTTATGTCACTGAAGGAGTAGCTGCAGAACCAAGAACCAGAGTCTGAGACAGAGCAGTGGGCTTCCCAGCCCCCGGAGCAAGTACAGCTGAGTGACTTTGGGCAAGAGGCTTGCATGTGGAGTGGGGTGCTTCCAGGCACTTAAATGGGGGCCTATCTTTACTGACCCATGGAGCTGGAGCTGAGTGCCTGTGTCTGGTGAGCGTTTATCAGCAGCCCTACAAGAGTTTTGTAACATTGCCTGGGGTGAAGAGAGGCCTGCCTGTGGGCACAGCTGAGGAGACGCTGTCTGACTGGACCAAGTGTAGCCTGAGCATTTCTGACCCTGAATGGCAGCCTGTTAACTTCCCTAGTAAACCCCGTAATTGTGAGTATGATGTCTGAGTTCTTTGTGGCTGTTGCTCTGAATTCTCAAACCCAGTTGAGTAGAGAGTATGTTGTGGGAGGAATGATGGTTGGTACCACACTTTTTGCAATGTCTGTCATCTGAGTATGAGACTTTCGATTATGGTAGCTTTATAATTAATATGTTTTGAGGTTGAAAAATATGGATTATCCTACTTTATTCTTTTTTAAAAACCTC